TATTTTCGAAGTGGACGCTTAGTAAACGGCGATTTTTTAATTTTAAGTTAAAACAAGTAGGTACCCCTATTTTCGTAAAACGGCATTTTTTTATTTTACATGAAAAATTCACAGCTGGCTAGATGAAAATCATTTATAATCACTCTGTATAATAACGTCTATTATACACAAATGTGGACCAACAAGAAACAAGATTTTTTTAAATTTTTTTAGTATTTTGTTGTTCTTACCTAATGGGGGCTGCAGCATTCCCCCTGACTTCTCACAGTGCCCCACAGGATTAATCTCCTTCGAGTCCACCAGCCTCCAAAAATCATTCTTATTATCACTCCCATCGAGCCTCAACCTGAGCCTCGATCCTAAAACCGTAATCACCGTCGCAATGCACGTCGATGTGACATTCCTCGGATCCAACGCCTCCAATTTCATTGCGACTTTAAATTCGTTATGGGGCGGCGTCACCGCCTGCTTGAAGCAGCTCGCAGGGGCCGCCACCGAGTTCGTGTCTTTGAGATACTCGTCCCAGTCGAAGGGCTGATATGTCTCGTACTGGAAGGGCCCCGGTGAGGCCTCCAGCGGCGTGGTGGGGGCCACTGCCGCCACCCGATTCTGCAATTCGGCTCTTTTCTGGAACTTGTTCATGCAGTACGTCGAGCAGAAGTCCTTCGAGGGGCTGTTGGCGCCCCGTATCACATTGTCGCACTGCAGACACGCCCCCTTTATGTAGGCCTTGCGGAACTCGGCGAGACATGTCTCCGAACAGAACTCCTTCTTGCCGTTGGTGGTCGGGAGGACGTATTTGAGGGGTAGTTTGCTCTCGTTGCACCACGTACATGAGATGATTTTCTTGGGGGGCCGGCCGGGGCCCCGCACTTTGCCCGGCGTCGGGTTGGGGTTACTCGACATCGCTCGATTTGAAAACCATCAGTTTACCTCCAAAATCAAACGGGTTTAGGGGACATGGCTAGAAGTGGCAAGGGGGCACTTTTCTCATCACGGATTACATTGAAAATACCACTCGGAGGAGTCTTCAGTGATGTAATGACGCAAAACCGGGGACTAAACGGAAAAATACATCACAATGTCAACGACGTCAAAATGTCAACAACGCGTTGCTGTTTGTGTAAGTGTTGCCAACATCACAAACATAAATCACTATTATTTAGGGAATTTTCATCACCCAGCGCCATTTTTAAAAAAGTTTATTCAAATAATCATTAAATAAAAAATACACGTAAAATTAAGCTTACAATTACAAGATTTAACCATTTATACACATCATTAACAAAATTGCACCGACGCTTCATCCATGTTTTTGCTTTTTGACTTTATTATTTACATTATTATTATCAGTTGTTCTCTTCGCTGCTCGTTTTAATTTCTTCTCGTCGGTGGTTTTTTTCAGGCCTTTCATTTTACGTGTTTGAATCTTGTTGATTTCTTGTTTACCGACGTGGATGCGACCGTGAGTTGTGCCCAAACCATCAACACTGATGTTCTTCTTTTTAGTCACTTTGAGTTCTTTAGGTTTGCGCAAAGCTTCTTTCATTAGGTCCTCGGTGGGTAGTTTGCTTCGTCGGAGTGTGAGATCTATTCTGGGACCTGGAAAAAATATTTTGGCCATAAATTAAATTTTACAATTCAACACACTTTCTTCAATATTTTTTGGAAACAAACTTTGAAATTTTAAGATGGGGTTTATTTAACCCTAAAATGTCAATTTAAATACATTAATTTTATCTCCTGTTTTTTTATGTCAAATAGTCTTAACGTTGGCAGCAATAGCAAATTCATGGTAATTTTAACAAACAAAGTTGGCAATTCTGGTTTTCGATTTAAATTGAAAACAATGTCATTAAACGTCACCAAAAATGCAAAAACGAGAACAAATTCGGTACCGTAAGCAGTTTTTGGAAATTCAAAGACAAAAAGTGGGCAAGTAGAAGTCAGAAAAAGAAAGATCACCGTTAAAATTTAGACCCAATTTGTAATGCATTTTCTAATTTTTAGTAAGAAATCGACGAGAATACAAAATATGAATGAAAAAAAAAAAAAACACAAATACACCATTAAATTAATTGGTTGCACTTTTAAAGAACCAGTTAAAAACTTCGAACTTATTTCAATAAATTACACAAACTTTATTACAAATTTTTATAATTTCTGCTTGTACTTTTACAAAATAACTTTTTTCTGTATAGACACCCTTTTTCATTAAAGTTTTTGTAGCAAGAAGCTCATTTTTGCCCTTTAGACATTAGGTTGTGAAAAAAAGTAAAAACTTTCCAATTTTAATATGAAAAGCATAATTTTTTAAGAAAATTTCTAGAGATATAAACAAAAAGCAAACAAATTTTGTGACTATGGAGATAAGTCGCTACCATTTTTTCACCAAAATTTTGACTTGGAGATTTTCATTAAAAAAACAGACTTTCTTACTATCTTACATTTTGAAAATTTAAATCAAAATTAGTGAAATCTAGGTCTATTTTCTTTGTAACGATTATCTATTACTAAAACGAGATAGCTTGAACTCTCTCACACCCGTGTAAAACGTTAATTTAACCATCTTTGTCACGTAATAGCAATTGTTTATTCCTGAAGATTGGAAAATTTTGACGGGCTAAAAGTAGAAAACGGCAAAAGGTAGAGATCGACTAAAAGTAAAAAACAATAATTCATTCATAATTCTTCAAAGTAGTAGAGTTTTTATAGAGAAAAACAGGCCTAAAAGTGCATAAATTTTAAGTTTAATAAAAAACCTTAACCAAGAGTGCGTTGGATTTCAATCAATCTGACACTTCTGACAGTTGGTGACATTTTGCGTCAATGTGCCTTAACCAAAAATGATAGAAAAACGGTAGCAAACATAAAGCAGATAATTTACCTAAAACAAGAATAAAAAACAGAAACATTAAAACAAAGAAAAGCAAATCTATTAAAAAAATAAAAATAGAAGATTTACTTTTCTCATCAAATTTTCTGATAATTTAAAGTTTTTTTTTGCAAAATTACTACAATATAGTGTTCGTTTTTTTTAGATACTGTGTTTCTATTTATTATTAGTTAATTTAAAACCAAACCAAAAACAAAAAATATCACAATAAGATAATTTGCGAAGGCAGAACACAGAACAGATTTGAAAGAAAGTTTAAAAAAAGACAAAGCGACGTTAAAAACATTTAAGATAGAATTTACAAAAAATAAGAAAGAAAGAAATAAAGTTGAAAAATTGGAGACAAGGATGTTAAAAACGAGTAAAAAGAAAGCACAACATAAGAAAGAATAAAAATATGGAAAAACGAATATTGGACTTAAAATTAGAAGAATGTAGGACAGAAACATTGGAGAAAGAAGAAAATTATGAAAAAGTATCAAAAATGGATAAAAGTAGTCAAAAAAATAGAAAAAACCGAAAACCTGAAAGTAATTTAATATAACTAAACAGGAAGACTAAATGAAACAAGAAAATAGTAAACAAAAACAAAACAATACAAAAGTGTAATGTGAAAATATAAGGAAACATTAATTGAATTCCATTTTTCTCTTGGAGTTAATTTTGGTGGCAAACAAGTCGGAAAAATAATTGTTTCTTAAGCATTTTTTATGTCTATTTAATGATACTGATGATTTATTAATATTAAAATTTGTAGTCCACTGCAATAAAAATAATTTATTTTTTGCATGAAAAAATGGCCTCTCCTGCTGCTTTAACTTTGGTATAATAAGGAGACGTTTCTTTAAGAAGATACAAAAAGTAAAAGAAATCACAAGGTTTACAAAGTACCGGGTGACTATTAATATTTGTGTCAAAAAATCTATTGGCAGCACTGAATTATTGGTAATCCTTCTAATTTGTTATATCAGAAATGTTTCAGGTGACGGCTAAATCAGCAGTCGCCTGTCGCAAATGAATAAAAATTTGACGTTTAAATTTGAAAGTCAAATTAAAATATTAAATTTGACACCAACTTGAGGAAAAAAATCACAATTATTTACAATCACCCGGTGCAAGAAGCAAACAATTAAATAAAAAATATAAGAAATAAAAATAATAAAACCAACATCCTGTCCAAAATAATTTTTCAAAATATAAAAAATAAGAAACGTTTTAACATTAGAATTATAATATAATATACAGGGTGCGGCAGAACTAGCGCCCCAGAGAAAAAAGGTACCAGGAACATGAAAAAAATGTTTAAAAAATTCTGACATTTATTTTTTGACATTTGACATTTTTTATGCCTATTTAATGATACTGATGATCCTGTATTTGTTTTTTTATAATTATTTAGTAAAAGTACAAACATTTCGCCAATAAAACCCACAAATAACATTAAACAAAGTTACAATTTAGGATACAGCTTTCTTGTTTCCTCTTCTAATAGACTGTAGCAAAAAAACTTGAAAAATTATTTTTCCAACAGAAATAAATAGTCAAAGTGCAAAATTTAAACTCTCATAACTTCTAAATTTTTATAGATAGATTTTTTAAATATTTTTTCCATGTTACTAGTATCTTACCTTCTCTGGGGTGGAGTTCTGTATATAAAAAAATTCTGGGCGGGAATGGTCAACTGGCAATTTTATTATAAAAATTAACAAATAAAAACTTATTAACGTAAAGAACACGGGAATAAAAATCAGTTCCGTTTTTTTAATATCATTAACTGTAGTGTACGAACAGTTTATTGTTGTAATCCTGTTTATTTGAATTAAGAAGAAAGAATGTAATAAAATAGAGAAAGTAAATACTTAAATTATTGCATCTGTTTTTTTTCTAATCTTCTAGATTTTTATTCTTATTTCCACAAAATCTGAAAAAGTTTACGGCTCCCATGTACATTTTTACCCAGTTTAATAATTTTTATGCAAATTTTATAAATTAGTAGACTAAAAGTGAATTGATTTTTATTGAATCACATTTAGCTCTAAAATTTAAAAATAAAATAGTGCTTAGTCAAGTTGTTTTTAAATTAAATCATAAAATGTTGAAGGGTGTTGGCGCACCCTGTATAATTGAAAAAGTGTTGCTTAAACATAATATTTCTTAATGTTCAAATAAATTGCTGATTTATTGACAAATTTCGATTTACAACTGTTCACACAAAACAACAAAATGAGTTTTATCTTCACAAAGCTCACCCATTTCTTCCAGTTCCACCCGTGGTACTCTACACCCGGACTTCTTCATCATAACTTTATAAGACCTAATAAGAATCTTCCCTTCTGGGGTGGCAGTGAAGCTAATTGTGTGTTCTAAACCTTGCAATCTGATTGAATTAACTTCCTCCCTATGAAACATGTCAATGAACAAACTCTTGAGATGTTTCAGGTCCTCAGTCTCCTCCCACGTGGGGCCGTTGAAAACGAGACAAGGCTTCGTCCCTAACGCTATTTTCGAGCAGGCAAAATCTTTCATAAACTCAGCAGACTCCACATGCAACTCCACCATATCTAACAAACTATAATTAAACATCCTACCAATGACTAGATTGTCTGGCCTTTTTTTACTATGTGAACTCATTACGAATAGGGACGACTCGTATTTTTTACAGAAACCTTCCACAGGAGCTGCGTTCTCGAAGACTGTTATGTCATTTTTCTTACTGAGCATTTGAGCCTCCGGTTTTTTTAAATCGTACAAATCTTTCGCCAAACGTCGCAGTTTCTCAGATGATCGTCTGCCTTGTAAAAACAGCGCCTTTTTGGGGCCTTCAATCACTTGCGGTTCTTTCTTCAGGAGGACCTTTTTGCCTTTACGTGTGGTCGCTTTACTACAAATTGGGGCCCGGATGAGCAAAAATCAAGCAAAAGGGGGCTTCTACTTACACCACACGCTGGATTACAACCATTTTCACTGGTTTTTGCACTTATTTCCACGTATTTTTGATTGTAAACTTGTCTACACGTGTTGTGAAGAAAACTAACCTGCTCCACCAATGCCAACCGCACGGAGCAAAATAACGATTCTTTGAAAGTTCCCAAAAATTTACAACAAAACTCAGAAATAACAAAATTGAATTAGACACAAGCTTAGTAGACAAGCTATGCAATGTGTCAAATTAATTTCATTCTTAAATGAGGCCTAGAATGTTATTTATTTAAAATTTGTAGTGTGAAATCTTGGGTTGGTATAACTGAATTATTAAAGCGCCAAAATTTAATCACTTTTTTTTGCAACTGGTCTTATATTTATCTTTAGCTTTAGATTTATCTATTAAAACTCCAAACAAGTAGCGTAATTACTTGTTGTCTCATTAATGGTTAGTACTTCTTGTCTGTTAACTACCTAAAAATAGTTTTTATAAAGATAAGATTCATAATTTTGTGTTGGTGACATTGACACGAAAAAATTGGATAAATTGGTAGTCTCAGGACTACGATGGCAAGTAAAGAAATAGAAAACAAACATCAAACTGATAAATTCATTGAAGGTAATATTTTCTTTATTAAAAAATCTTTATTACAAAACAAGTCTTGATATTCTTAAACTAAGTTAATTTTCATATGTATTCTCCAATGCTAAAAATAAAATACTTACGCTACACTTTTAGCATATAGTTTGAAACATTTTATTAGAATTTTTACCTACTAAAACCAACTTTGACATATTATACAAAGTGAGTCATAGAAATAACTGACTATTATAATTTATATTATAGAAAAGATTTGATTTTTTTATACGTAATGCGGATTCACGTAAGATGACGATCTTTAAAAATATGAAATGCAACCCAAAATACATTACACATATATTTATACAGTGAGTGGCAAAATTGTGGAATAATCTTATTTATTTAAAACTGAAAATATTTTGTTTTGACAAAAATACTCAGTTCTCTTTTTTAAAAAATACAAAATTTTCAACTTCATTTAATTGTGTTTTTCGTTGATATTATTTCACTTTTTGTGTAATATTTAATATTTTAGTGTTGTCAGTTCGACAATTAAAAGATCTATCAAAGTGGCAAAAAAATTAATTAAAAGTGTAAAATTTTAAATCAAGTTGAAAATGTTGTATTTTTTAAAAAGAAAATTGACCTGTTTGAGCATTTTTGCCAAAACAACAGTTTTAATAAGATTCAGTTCAATAAAAGTACATAATTTTATAATTTTCACTGTATACATTAGTATCGATATTTAAATTAAAACTGTATTTGTTACTGATTTACTTATAAAAAGTTTGCTACAGGCTATTAGAAGAAGAAACAAGGAAGCTGTATCCTAAATTATAATCTGTTTAATGTAATTTGTGGCTTTTATTGTCGAAATTTTTGTACCTTTACTAAATAATTATAAAAAAACTTATACAAGATCATCAGTATCATTAAATAGACATAAAAAATGTCAAATGTCAAAAAATAAATGTCAAAATTTTTTGACATGGAATTTTTAAACATTTTTTACCGTATTTTATTGGAAATTTTCCTCTGGGGTGCGAGTTCGGACACACCCTGTATTTGATACATTTAAAAAATATAGAAAATACTGTAATATGAAGAGCAAAACGTTGTTAACAAGTTACTCGATTTCATATTAATGTGCATCGAAGTAGTCGTTGAAAGTCATTTTAAGGTGGCAACCATGCAAAAATTCAAACAATCCTAACCTCAATATTCCCTAAAAATTATTTTCTCAAATAAATATGTGTACCCCAGGTAGCAAAAAATAAATAAAATTAACAAGGTAATTAACATGGGCTAGGAACCAAAGATTTTTGTCATTATTGTGTTTAAATTTGTTCTGAATGACATTAATGCCACTTTTTGTGTGAATTCGCCTTTAAATTAAAGATGCATTTAGACTTCTGCACATTAATATAAAAAAAAATATTTTTATTTTACAGGCTATAATTTTATGCTCCCTTGTGTGATTCTCTCTAGTAATTTTTGTTTGGTATTAAAAATTTCATTTAAAAAGTTCAGACACTTCTTTATGAATTTATAACTCGCTTTTTCAATGTCGCACATGTACGACATCTCCTACTGATTTATTGATACGACAAAAGAAATATTTACATGAATATAAACATCAAACAATATTTTCGCTAAATTACAAACGTACCAAGAAAAAATAAAATAACAATGGAAATACAAATTACAAAACGAGCTGAAAACATCATAAATTCAGCTTTTATCATTCTTTACATGGAAACAGTAGAATTTTTCCCATGTTCAAGAGTTATATAACTCGCCAACCAAACAAAATCTCCTCATTTAAATAAAATTCGGCAAGTGGGTCGTAACTCTCCAATTTTAGCCTCGTGTTTAAATAAAATAATAGCTTATTTTATTCGCAATTACTCTTCTGTCTGCGACCTCGTCTTACGTCATACGATAACAAAGAATAGGTGATACTTGTAAAATCAGATCAGTGTCTTTATGTGCGCTTTGAATAGAGACAATCACTTCTCATTTCCAACAGTAAGTGAGAAAAATTTCCTCACCCACACCCCAATTTTGCAAATTTCAGTGAAAGACGACTCAAACGATGACATAATCCAGCGCAGCATCGGCCCCCTAGGCCGCTGGCACATCTTCATGTGTGTCATCATCTCCTTCGTGAAACTCCCAGTGGCTTGGCTCCAACTCAGTATTGTTTTCATCGCTCCTCCAGCCACATTCACTTGCATTGACAACCAAACCTCTCAATGTGCCCCAAACTGCACCGGCCACGTTTTCGACCGGTGAGTTGACCCGATTTGAGTCCACTTGAAAACTCATAGTCTCAATATTCCAGGTCTGTTTTCACTGAAACAATCATCACGGAATGGGATCTCGTCTGTGGTCGGGCTTATTTGGCCAATTTGGCCCAAACTTTGACCATGTTGGGGATCCTCATCGGGAATATGCTATTTGGGTACTTATCAGACCGATTGGGGCGCCGGAATCCTCTCATTTGTGCCGTCTTTCTGCAAGTTTTGTGTGGCATGGGGGCGGCGGTCGCCCCCTGGTTCCTCTTATTCCTCGTTTTGAGGTTCATTGCAGCTCTGGCGACTGGGGGGACAATGGTGATGAGTTTTGTCCTGGTTATGGAGATTGTAGGGATGAAATGGAGGACCACACTTGGGATTTTGTACCAAATCCCTTTCAATATGGGATTGTTGACTTTGCCCTTGTTTGCTTACTTCCTCCGGGATTGGCACCACTTCCATATCGCGATTTGTGTCCCAGGGATTCTCCTCTTGTCGTATTATTGGCTCCTCCCTGAGTCCCCAAGATGGCTGTTGACAGTTGGTCGCAAAACCGCCGCCATTAAAGTCTTGCATTTGGCCGCAAGTCGCAACAAACGCCCCACAGCCCCCATCAAAGCCAACGTTGAGACTTACATGGAGCGGAAACAGCTCGAAGGGGGCAAACAAAGCGGGAACATCCTCGACCTCATCCGTACCCCCACCATGCGCTCCTACACCATCTGCATCGGTTATAATTGGTTCGCTTGCGGGCTTTGCTTCTTCGGAGGGGCGCAATACATCGGCCAACTCGGGGGCGACATCTTCGTCAATGTGGCCCTATCTGCGGTTATGCAAATCCCTAGTACGTTTTTCTCGCTTTGGTCGGTGGCGGCATGGGGGCGCAAGTACACTCTTGTCTTTTCCAATGTCTTGTCTGGGGTTTCCTGTCTTTTGATTGGGGTTATTCCCCCGGAGCCGACTTGGATTAGGACTGTCCTCAGTTCGGTTGATATGTTTGCATTGGCGATTTCGTTTCCGACGGTTTATTTGTACTCGGGGGAGCTTTTTCCGACTGTTGTGAGGAATGTGGGAGTGGGGACGAGTTCCATGTTTGCGAGAGTGGGGTCGATGGCAGCCCCCTTTATTGCGGGGTTGGTGTTGGTGGAGGAGTGGTTGCCGCCGTTGGTTTTTGGGTTGGCACCCCTGATTGCGGCCTTGTTGTGTTTCAAGTTGCCGGAGACGGTGGGGTGCAGGTTGCCGGATACGGTGGAGGAAGCGGAGGCTTTAGGGAGTAAAAAAGATGTTCAATAGAAAATAATTGTAAACAATTGGTTAATAAAGTATTTTTCCTACGACTCTAACAGAAAATAAGTTTTTCTGTGGCCAATTACCTCTTGCACTACTCCAAAAAATTAAAGGGACAAAAAATTTTTCTAAATACAGAGTGCGCCAGAAGTCGCGGCCCAGAGAAAAATGCTATGTAAGGTAAGATACCAGGAACATGGAAAAAATGTTAAAAAAATTTTATCTATAAAAATTTCGAAGTTATAAGGGTTTAAAGTTTGCACTTTGATGATCAGTATCATTAAATATATACAAAAAAATGTCAAATGTCAAAAAATATGTCAAAATTTTTTGACAAATAGAATTTTTTAAACATATTTTTCATGTTCCTGGTATCTTACCTTACTTGAAAGTTTTCTCTGGGGCGCGAGTTCTGGCGCACCCGGTATTTTGGTGATTTTTGAAAGGCTGTAACTCATTGAAAAATGGTCGTATCTAGATTAATGAAAAACTATTTTGAAGTTTTACGTTTCTAGTTTTGAGATCTTTTGGGTATTCATGGTTAAAATTATGCCACATCTTTTTGAATTACCCGATATATTCAGAATTTAAACATTTAATTCCTACTTATTGAATATCAAAATGTTGATCTTCATTATTTGAATTTTCAAATTCCTGCTCATTAATTCAACTCAAAAATTGACTTTCGAACTCAAAATTTTAACTTTTGCAATTTTCAAATTCAAATTTTGTATTTCAATGAAGTACGAATTTAAGCCTAGAAATTGGTATATACGAAATTAATTATGTAATTAATTTCAAACTTGAAACTCAGACAGATTTTCGTCTTTGAAAATTCTGTCAAAGAAAACGAAAATTTTAATTTTTTAATTTCCAACTTTTATTTTCTTGGGAAAAAAATATTACATTTCCTACAATATTATTCGCTTAATTTTCAGTAAAACCAACCAAAGGTGTAATTTTTTTGTATTACAAGGCAGGAAAGCGAAAAATTTGAGTTTTAGAAAAATCGGTATAAACAAAATGTTTTTTCTAGAAATAGATTTGTTTGTTATCTTTTCATGTTAAGAGACAAAAAGACACTCTTTGATATGGTGTAAAATGTTGTCTTGGCAATGGGGCCCTTCCAGTTTTTGGGTCATAACTTTTTTAGCCTATTAACCCCTATTTTTGATACCAAAAATTTAAAGTTTTTCATAAAAAAGATGCTCTTCTTTCATATCAGGTGAATAAAAAGTATGGAACCAAACGTTTTTTGTTTAAACTATTTATTTTTTGAAAAAACTAATTGATGAGTGATAAAGTACTATAAAAATGTGATGATTTAACAAGAATAAAATTTCTCGAAATTTCCTTTTGTTTTTGAGTTCTACAAAAAAAATTTTTTTTTAAATGGCAACCCACTATAAAATCATTTTTCTCATAAAAGCTATACTCTAAGGATTACAACTATCTGCTTTATTTTTAATTTTTTCAAAAATTTTTTTTCACATAAATTGCAATTTTGACAAAAAAAATCGCATAACTCAAAAACAAAATTTCGTTCTGAAAATACGATCACATTTTTTATATTACTTTAATTTATATTAATTATTATTATCTGGAGGCAAATGATTAAAAATAAAACCGCTTGGTTCCATACTTTATATTCACCCTGTATATTGGGTTAAAACTAAACTCTACACCGCTCTGCAAAATCAGAATTTACGAATTTTGAGCGTGACCTAAATTTTAGAGCAACAATTTGATTTGTAAAATTTGTAAATTTTTAATTTTCGACACACAATCTGCGCACGTCTTTTTGGCCATTTTAAAATTTTTAATTTTCATTTTAAAAAAATCTTCAAAACCCAAAAATACGTGTTTTACTATTCTTCAAACACTATCCAGTAGTGTCACTAAATAATCAAAATGTCAACATGGTATAAAAGCCCTCTTGAATGCCAAAAATTTCAGTTTTGTTAATAAAGAATTCTACATTTCGTAGTTATAGAATTTGATTTTTTTTATTTAAATCGTAGGTTTCAAAGTCAAAGTTAAAATTGTGTGATTCAAAATCAGTATTCTAAGCTTCATAAACGTTGGAATTATTAAATTAATAACGAATTTCATATTCAAAAGTTAAAATTTTCAGTTTTAACTTAAAGAATTCCATTTTTTAAAGCCCCTCTTGTTTAAAAAAAAAAACAAAAAACAGTATATTGTGTTTGAGATAAATACATAGAACTGTCTTTCATATTCAGAACTTCCGACGTGATAATCGCAACTCTTAGATTAAACATTGAAAATTTCAAATGATGTGAAATGCAAAATTTAGCGTTAAAAAATTTATAATTCCAATTTTGGGTTTGGAATTTGAGATTCTGTGTCTAAAAGTCTGAATTCCACGTTTGGGTCTCAAACTCTAAAATTTTCAGTTCAAAAATAAAAATTTGATTAAATTTGAAGCACAATTTAAATTCAGACATTTTTATTACAGTTTTGTTCTTGTAAATAATTGAACAAAGGTATAAGAAAACTTCATTGATGTTTTTTTAACAAGTTTATTCCTTATATAAAATGAGAAAGTGGACAAGGTTAACTAGACACGATGGACGACACTTACCTAGAATTTTTCGTCAAATCCTTCACTTATTTGAATATGTGGCCCGAAAAAAACACTTTTTGCACCACTTTTCAACAATATTACGTTTCAGTAATCATCACAATAACGACATTTCCAATTTTAGCTGATTTAATAACACAATTTCGCGGTAAGTCACTTATAAACCCCAACTTTTATAACATTATTTTTTTCTAGAAGAGTACATTTCTTTCACTAGTGTTAACGAAAACTTTGTCGCATTAAGTGCCCTCTATGCTGTTACTTACGTTTCCGTTTGTTTTATCAACCGGAAACACAAAATCAGGGCTTTGATAGCCGACTTGGCCCTTTTTGAAAAGTTCAGTTCAAAATCAATTATCGCTGAAACAGACAAATCGGTGAAATTTTACACTAAATTATTTATAGTTTACGGAATTGTGGGCAATTTGTGTTATGGGCTATTGCCCATTTTGGGCTATAAGAAGTGTCATGAAACCAAATCCGATCATATGATTAAGTATGGAATACCTTGTGGACTTGTAGTCCGATTTTTGTTCCCTTTCAAATTCGATTATTCGCCACTTGCCGAACTTGTAGCTTTGTACGAAATTATTATTTGCATTTTGGGCACTAGTGTGGTTGTGATAATCACAACATTAATCTGTGCTATTTTACTACACATCACTGTGCAGTTAAAATGTCTCAAACAAATTATTCTGGACTTGTCCCAAGTCAGCGATATGGAAGTTTTGGAGAAGAAAATGAAGTTTTGTGTCAAATATCACACTGCAATTTTAGAGTTAACTACTTTGTAATTTTTTTATTTTCTTAAATAACTGATATTTTAGTTATGGGATTCGAACCGATTTAGCTTTCAACGAAATGATGCTCTTGCACATAACCTGGACCGGATTTATTATAAGTGTTCTTGGATTTGAAATCACTACAACTGATGATTATGTCGAAGCTTTTCGATTTTTTATGCATTTGTTGGGGTGGTTAGGAATGCTATTTTTGGTGTGTTACTACGGCCAAAAAATTTTAGAGGAAGTATATATTCGTTTTCATATTAAGGTGGCAACCATGCAAAAATTCAAACAAACCTAACCTCACTATTCCCTAAAAATTATTTTCTCAAATAAATAGGTGTACCCCAGGTAAAAATAATTAAAATTAACAACGTAATTAACATAGAGAAACATAAAAGAAACTTTGTTTTGAATGACATTAATGACACTTTTTGTGTGAACCGGCCTTTAAATTAAAGATGCATTTAGACTTCTGCAACCTACTTGATGCAGGCTGCTTTCAGAATTTTCTCTTAAATGTGTTATTTCAGAGTTTGGCCATTGCTGATGTCACTTATTCGTTCCTTTGGTACCAAAAATCGGTGATAGTCCAAAAATACGTTCTCCTGATTTTATTACGAAGCCAAAAAGCCTTGACTTTGAGAGCGTGTGGGGTCAAAGTCATGTCTTTGGCCACATTTTTGGGGGTAAATGAGCACATTAGCCGAATCAACTTGTTGTAAATTGTATTTTTCAGGTCTTGTACTCGGCATATTCGTATTTCACTCTACTTTTGAAATTAAAACCGTAATGGCCATCTTCAACGAGTCACGCTGTAGATGTCTTTTATTATAGTAAAAACGTTTTATTGAATTTATTTTAATTTCGTTTTGCCGAAACTGTGACCAATATAATTTATTTCTTGTGTAGTTTTACATTTCTGAAACGCATTCTAAATAGGCAACCAACAGTTGACATTCAATTTGCAAAGTGGGCTATGTAAGAAATGTCAAAAAATTCAATTAACAATTTCATTAAAATTCTCTCAAATTATTGGTGAAAATAGTAGTGGAGTGGTGCAAAGTAACAAATCGTTGCTTGCTATAGGAGTATTGTGCAAATATAACATGTATAAATTAAATAAATTTGAAAAAAAAAACATGAATGGTTTTGAAGTTAAGTTTATAGACAGTCCATCAGAGGGCGCTGCAATTTTTCAAGTGGCTCGAATGTGTTGAAACCTGAAATGTTTAACAGTTTTTAAACATTAAAAAGTGTGTGAAGTTGTGTGAGTTCGTGTTTGTTTCAGGTGAGTTGTTTGCATTAACAGCGTTTTTGTGATTTGAAATAACCGATCTTCAATGCAAAATGGGGTCCCTACTTGACTTTTGTTTGAAGTAAAAGATGAAAAAAGATTGATATTTATGTGAAATTCCAGCTCTTACAACCTGAATTGGGAATTCTTATTAATATCAAAATAATTTATGTCCTTACAAGTAGTTTTACCAGGTCATTTGAATTTGCAAAGTGGGCTGTGGGGAAAATTTAATTAACAATTTCATAAAATTTACTTCAAATTATTGGTGTAAAGTAAAATATAGTAACAAAATAATAAATTACTACTACTATTATGATTACGAAATATTTTTTTTCTGTAAAAAAAAAAAACAAAATCAAGTTACAAATGAGTTTGGTACATTCTCAAACAATCCGCCAGTGGGCGCTGTAATTTTTCAACTCTCGAATCGGTTGATGTGTTAAAGTTTTTAAACATTTTTAAAGTGTAAAAATGTGGGTTTTTCGTGTGTTTTAGGTGAGTTGTTTGTGTTTACAGTATTTTTCTTAATGTGATTTGTAAATCCGATATTTTAATGACTATAATAGGGACCACTTGATTATTGCTAAATTCAAAATGTCTTGAGTAGGTACCTACTAGATTTACCTAACGATGTTGATACATATACAGTGTGATATTAAAGGGTGTGCAAATACAGGGTGCGCCAGAACTCGCGGCCCAGAAAAAAATGTCATATAAGGTAAGATACAGGAACATGGAAAAAATGTTAAAAAAATGTTATCTATAAAAATTTGAAGTTATGAGGGTTTAAAGTTTGCACTTTGACTCTATTTATTTCTGTTGGAAAAATGTTTGTCCCTTTACTAAATAATTGTAAAAAAAACATATACAACATCATCAGTATCCTTAAATAGACATAAAAAATGTCAAATGTCAAAATTTTTTGACAGATAGAATTTGTTAAACATTTTTTTCATGTTCCTCGTATCTTACCTTACTTGAAAATTTTCTCTAGGGCGCGAGTTCTGGCGCATCCTGTATTTTAACAGGTGATAGTAGAGCTCAAAAGAAGTCAAAATAACTAAACTTATTGCCTTATCCGAATGTTTATAGTTTTTGTTTCCAATGTTGTTCAATTTAATTTATTGTTGAATTTGAGTTTATTACAATTATTCATAAGACACAAATTGGTGATTTTTTCGACAGATTTCTAACTAAATTCAGGAAAACATTATTTGAACGGCCAAAAAAATACCCAAAATCTGAAAACTGTTGCATAAAGTGCAATTTTATGCCACTGGCAACATTTTATGCAATACTTTGGTCATCATCGACCATCGACTGTAGTTTTTAAGTGAGAAATTGTTGCAGTTTCACGTTTTGTATATCACCGAAACTAATTTAAGCTATTTTCGAGGGCATAGGTACGTCAAATGTCAAAAATTTTAACTGACAAATAAAATAATAAATTCAATTTAAAAGGTGCTCAATAGAAAAAATGTACCAGGTGAATAAAAAGTATGGAACCAAACGTTTTTTGCTTAAACTATTTATTTTTTGAAAAAACTAATTGATGAGTGATAAAGTACTATAAAAATGTGATGATTTGACAAGAATAAAATTTTTCGAAATTTCCTTTTGTTTTTGAGTTCTAAAAAAAAAAATTTTTTTAAATGGCAACCCACTAAAAAATCATTTTTCTCATAAAAGCTATACTCTAAGGATTACAACTAACTGCTTTATATTTAATTTAAAAAAAAAATCACATAAATTGCAATTTTGACAAAAAAAAATCGCATAAAAATACGATCACATTTTTTATATTACTTTAATTTGTATTAATTATCATTTTCTGGAGGCAAATGATTAAAAATAAAACCGCTTGGCTCCATACTTTATATTCACCCTGTATAAAAAAGTCTGGTGTGAACATCACACTACTTTCCTTATCCAACTTATTTGGAAAACATTCTTACGGTGTTGGAAATCCGAGTAGCAAACGTTTGCGTTAGTGCCACCTGCCGGATTACATCACAGTTGCCGCGGGTGCAATTTTTTTTAGTTCAGTACCCATTATTATTTTATCATATTTTACTGTTTAATAAGGTATATTTCATAATTATAAATAATTTTTATCCCCATGAATTTATTTATAGTATCTTCAAACGTATAATTTTGATTTTTGGTTTTTGCGGCCGAACGGTGCGACCGATTTTTACCAATTGTTTCGTGCTACAAGTAACTTACATTTACTTAAGCGATTAAGACAGGCGTTAAAATGAATATTTTCTATTGTCACATTGTAAACAAAATCTCAATAGGAAAATAAAAAGTAGATACAATACAGTAAAATTATTGTTCTCCCTAGTTACAAGTCAATAGAGTATATAAGATTAACTTCAAAGATATGTTCCTAACATACAGAGATTCTTAAATATATTTATATAATTTTAAAACATCAACATTATATGCCACATAAATCTTGAGCCTTTCAATTGCACATTTCTTCGACAGTCTTGCTCTGTCTCGTATTATACTTCTTCTGGACCTCGGGTTTACTATGCACCATCTTCATATGAGAATTAAAACTACTCTTCCATTTTGTTTCAAACATACAAACTGTACATTTATAAATTTTCGCATTTTTCGAATTCGCATGCACCCTTAAGTGTGACTTGATACTCTCTTTCCACTTAGTCGTAAATCCACATTTCTCGCATTTATACGTCTTGACTTCACTTTGACAATGCACTTCTTTCATATGCTTGGCCAAGTAGTACCTCGACTCACCTTCATACTCGCATTTGGCACATTTATAAGTCTGTGTTGAATTATGTCTCTCGACATGCTCCTTGAAATACTGCTTCCATATCGTCATAAACGAGCAAATCGTGCATTTGTATAGCTTGACCAAATCCGGATTAGTATGTTTTTTGACGTGTTCGCGAAAATACTGCCTCCATTTCGTCTTAAACTTACAACTAGTACACTTGTAGACCTTATCAGGGACGCTGTGCTGCTTCACATGATCGCGGTAGCATTTACGCCAAGTGGTGGTAAAATCGCATTCCTCGCATGCGTATTGTTTGAGCATTTCCGGGTTTTGGTGTTTTTTAACATGCTCGCGAAAGTATTGTTTCCATTTAGTCGTGAATTCGCACTCCGGGCATTTAAACACCGGAATTTGATCCGGGTATTCATGTTTCTTGACATGCTCCTTAAAGTATTGCTTCCATTTGGTTTGGAAAGGGCATTCGGGACAAGAAAATGTCTCCTCCTCTTCACCAGTATGGATTTTAATGTGTCGTTTCATGTAGTTTTTCGAACGGGACTGGAAGGGGCATTCGGGACAATGGTGCATTTTGGACGAATCAGGTGGGTTGTGGATGGTCATATGACCAGCGAGACTATTCTTCCATTTGGTTTTAAATGGACAAATGTTGCAATGGTACAAAGCGATGGTTTTTGATTGGTTGTGGATGGTTTGGTGGCCGAGTAGACTATTTTTCCATCTGGTTTCAAAGGGACACTCGGGGCATTTGTAGCTGGCGCTCTCGTCGTGTAGTTTAATGTGACGTTTCAAGTATTGTTTCCATTTGGTTTTAAACATGCATTCGGAACATTGGAAATATTCGATTTTGTCGACAATGTCGTGGACTTTATTCAAGTGGTGTGTGAGGGCGTATTTCGAGTCGGCTTCAAAAATACAAACTGTGCATTTGTAAATTTTATTTTTTTTCGGTGAACTGTGTCTTCTCACATGCTCTTTGAAATATTGTTTCCAGCGTGTGGTAAATTGGCATTTGTCGCATTGGTACTGTTTTATAGTATTGGGGGCCGAGTGGATTTTCATGTGTTCTTTTAAATACTGTTTCCATTTGGTTTGGAAACTGCAATCTGGACATTTGTGCTTTTGCAAGCTTTCCGGTAAATGTGATTTTATATGTCGGTTCAAGTACTGTTTCCAATTGGATTCAAAGGGGCACTTTGTACATTTATAAATCTTTAAATTCGTGTCTTTGATTGTATGAATCGATTGGTGCATTTTAAGACTGGTTTTCCATTTTGTTTGAAAACTGCAGGTTGTACATTTATACATATCAAGGCAATCGGGGGCGCTATGAATCCTTGTGTGTTTAGCTAGATAGTTTTTCCATTTGGTTTTATACGTACATTTTTTGCATTTGTATAGTTTGACGAATTCGGGGGAGCTGTGGATCTTCATGTGACCGCGAAGACTGTTTTTCCATTTGGTTTTGAAAGCACATATCGTGCATTGGAAATTCTTGATTTCCTCACTTGTGGGCTCATTCTTCACACTGTCGATAAATTCAGTCTCGGGGGTCTCTACACAACTCAAATACCTGTAAAACCATTCTGGATAATCAGTTTTCTATTTGGAGAAATTACCTTGGATCATCAGGACATTCCTCTTTTATTTCTACTTTTATTATATCACAATTGGGGCTTTCTTCCTCACACTCGATTTCCGTATCGCTGAGTTTCTCCGTTTTCACAAAAATGTTGTTGTAATCGTAATTTTGTTCATTTTCTTTACTCATTTTTATTTATTTCTTTAGCTGTCAATGCTGAGGGTATTTTTACGATTTGATGAGAGGTAATTGTTGCTTATACTTGATTTTATTCACTTGTTCACATTATTTCAGTTTTTATACAACACAACAATTTGGGCATTGTGTTTTTACTATTTTTTATTAATCGTCTTGTTTATTAAAAAATAAATAAAACGGAGCGCCATCTACAATTTTTGATTGGTGGAAAAACGCGCTTAATTTGAATTGTCACCATGTTTACACATTTTACAACAATTAAATTCTAATTTATATCACATTGTTATACTGTGATGATGAGTAATTAATAACTTGTTTGTGTTTGGACCAAATTTTAGATAATTATTAACCTCACTTTTTGACAGTTATGTCATCATTTTAGTACGAATTTTGTAATTTTACACTCTAATTAAGTTAATACTTAAAATGAATGTCTCAAGAATATGTCAAGGCGCTTTTAGGGGCATTATTAAGGTATTTGTACATAAAATTGGTCAAATTTTGTAAAACATTTTTATTTATTTCTTTAGCTGTCAATGCTGAGGGTATTTTTACGATTTGATGAGAGATAATTGTTGCTTATACTTGATTTTATTCACTTGTTCACATTATTTCAGTTTTTAGACAACACAACAATTTGGGCATTGTATTTTTACTATTTTTTATTAATCTTCTTGTTTATTAAAAAATAAATAAAACGGAGCGCCATCTACAATTTTTGATTGGTGGAAAAGCGCGCTTAATTTGAATTGTCACCATGTTTACACATTTTTACATTGTTCAACAATTAAATTCTAATTTATATCATATTGTTATACTGTGATAATGAGTAATTAATAAGTTGTTTGTGTTTGGACCAAATTTTAGATGATTATTATCGAAAACATAACCTCACTTTTTGACAGTTATGTCATCGTTTTAGTACGAATTTTGTAATTTTGCACTCTAATTAAGTTAATAATTAAAATGAATGTATCAAGAATATGTCAAGGCGCTTTTAGGGGCATTATTAAGGTATTTGTACATAAAATTGCTCAAATTTTGTAAAACTAACCCCAAATTTTAGAGGAATTTATACATTGAAAATTATCAAAAATTACTGATTAATTCGAGAAGATTTCACCAAACCAAGACTCAGTTGCGCCAAATATCCACAGTTAATACTAAACAATTGCATAAGGAAGATGGTTGGGTTAAACAAATGTTGAAAAAGATTCCTTTTTTTAATGTGGAAAAAACAGTAATTTCACTTCAATTTTTGCATAATTTTCACTAAATCGGTCCAATTTTAGCGTCTGATGGCCGCGGCGTATTTTCTCTACGAAAATATCGCAGACCGAGTCAATTATGTTAGTTTTTTTGAGGAGTTGGATGTGCCTGATACTTTTTACTCATGGTTTGTTATAACCGAATTGCACATTTGGATGATTTCGGCTCGTATCATGGCAGAAGGTGACAATGGCCGACATTTAAGGAATTTTCTAGTCGAAGCGCTTTGGAATGATGTTGGTCAAAGGATAAAAAAGTTGGGAGCGGTTGTTTACTAAATTTTTGTTAGTATTTTTTGTTAATTTGAGAAAATTATAGTTGAGTAACCCGTCAGTGGCTCGGGAACAGGTCAAACAGCTCTCTGAGCAGCTACAAGCCGCCTTAATCGCATATGATGAAGGGTTGCAAAGCGACGATACTATTCTAGCGGGGGCTTTGTGGAGGCGGTTGTATCAACAAGGGGATGTTGACCCCCGATCGTTAGAAATTCTAGTCAAATATGTCCGAAAACAGGTATTTTGAACGATATCTTGATCTCGATTTTGTCTATTTTGGTTTTCTTAGATGCGACTTTTGGATCACTTGTCAATGGAAACGCTAACAAATGCGAAAATTGATTGGGTTTTGTTAAATAGATAGTTAAGTAAAATAGTTAAAATAAAGTTTATTGTGACAGTTAACAGTTAACTACATGTCAGTGTTTGGATTTTTTCGTTTTTTTCTTAATTTGTTGACATTGAATGGCTTCATCGGCTTCCACTGCTGTAATAGCACACCTGAGTTTTGCTTGACAATTGTCACTACAACCCGAAGCCATCGCTGGTGCACTTTCACGTCCTTGAAACCTACAAAACAATTGAGAAAAATGACTTGAAAACAAACGCAAAAAACCTGAAATATTGTTGCATCAGAGTGTGATTTTTGGACATTCTGTTCAGCATATCGGCTAAACTGTCATAACTTGTGTTTTTTAAACCGTAGGCGTCTTTAAATGAGTATAATTTAAACCATTCAGGGCTTTTATTTTTGTCTTGATTGGCTTTTGTTAGATTAAATGTGTATTGGTCATAATCTAGCACTCTCTGAAAAAAAAAAAACATTATTTTGGTTAGTCCCCTATTTTTTTTATTACGTAATCGTTTGTGTCAATGTTGTATGTTCTGTAGTTTGGATTAAACCTGACAAAAGTGGTAAAACTGCCCGCATTGTAGGCTACATTGATGATTTTTTTCGTATTGTTGGCATCACGAAAAAGGCGGAGCTCGTCTAAGTGGGTGTGGCCATTAAATTGGGCCACTATGATTGGCGCAAACCTGTTTAAAATAACACTAAGTGTTCAAAAATCACCCTTTCAAATCACTACCTGTTGACTATTTTATGAAACTGATTTGACCATCTTTGAAGACATAAAACTTCACCTGGGGGTATATGTGACAAAATATGTACTTTTTCACCTTTCTTCTCGGCTTCGCTTAACACTTCTACCAACCATTTAAGTTGGCCGTAAGGATCATCATCGTCGTATAACAACCACCTGAAATTATTTTAATTTATCATTTTGTGTGTTTTTTGATTGTAATTTGTGTACAAATTGCTGGTGAAACACACGTTACTGTTCAGTGCTACAATTCTGAATTTGGGTTTCACCAAAACCGTGTAGTAACCGCCGGTTTTGATAGTGGCGCTAGTGTCGTTCGGTAACCATCGTGCCCATTCAATTGCCATTAAATCAAAAACCCATTGAGTTGAAATTTTCGGACTTACGTCCCCAGGGGAATAACTAAAAAAATCATAAAGTGTGACCAACTTTTCGAGGATAAATCACTAACAAATCGGTCGGGTGTGGCTCATGGTTGCCTAAAATCGGATAAACGGGGGTTGTATTAAATGTATCCTTAAATAATTTGAAAATTTTTTGAATGGATTCGACGTTGTGGTCTTTAGTAGTGGCCCAAGACCGGTGACTGATTATATCACCGGTGTAATAAACCAAATCGAAGTTGGCCTAAAACCATAGTGTCAAGAAGCCCAAAACTGGAGGATTTTTCTCTACTTACGTGATTTTGTGTCAAATAGGATGTAAAATTGGTGATGGTATACCATGGAATGTCACAAACGTGGTAATCCCCCCAAAAACCAGCCGCATTTGATGGTTTCGAAGGAGGACCATTGGATTGTTGGCAACAAAGTGGTAAATCACAGGCGGCATTGCTTCCAGCTTGGTACAAAGGATCGTAATGGAAATCAGTCAAGTGGAGGAGTTTCAACGGTGCCGCTTTGTGGTGATTGTGCTTGAAATTTTGTCATTTCGGGGGAATTACCGGACTTGGGGGAGGCTTACCTGGTGGTGGGCGTGTCTCCGAGGGGGCGGAATCGCAACTGTCCATTTTTTCATATTGGGGTCTTTGCAAGTTTTCTGTTGGAAAGCTATAGCACAGACTCGGAATCCGGTCAAATCTTTTTTATTGTCGATAATGAAAAGGACAGTGTCCTAAAAATTGTGGTTCAGTTTTTGTCAGTTGTTGAAATTACTAACTATTTCAATATTTATGTAACCGTCACATGCCACTCCTCCCCAGTCGGTGAAAAGTCGACATAGTTTTTGGAAATATGTAATCATGGAATCTCTATTTGCGCCTCCTCGTCTGTATTCAATAATCTGATTGAAGACTAGTTCGCAGCTTTGGCAAAAAATGTCATTTGCGAGTTTTCTATCTGGGATTTTTGTGATGTTTTTAACGGCTGAAGAGAGACGTTGGGGCACAGTTCTAGTCGTTTGTAGTGTCTGGACTCCATGGGAAATTATTTGTGGTATTTCTGTCAAGGTTTAACGAATTTTTTGCTGAAACGTGGAATTTAAAACTTACCGTTATGATGGTTGTGACAAGAAACTAAAAAAATGTTAAATGCCAAAATGAGAAAAACTGAAATGTGCATTTTTGAGTCAGGAAGTTGACACAAGACTGGGAGGACTTTGAATTTCTAATCACTAGTGTCATGTCATAGGGTATTGAGATAGGGAGGCATAGCAACATGTTTGGAATGTTTGTAAATATCTATGGTAAATAAATAACCTATTTTTAGCAACTATCACTTTATACAAGATTTCCATTTCACTTTTAGTCTGTAAAAATATCCTACAAATAGAATTTTTAATAAAATAGCCCTTTTTGTCCCTTAAGGTTGAACTATACTGAATAAAAAAATTAATCGTTATTTAAAAATCCTGAAAACAATATAACTTTTTGATGGCCTTAGCAGCAATATTCAGGATGCGCCAGAACTCGCGCCCCAGAGAAAATTTTCAAGTAAGGTAAGATACCAGGAACATGGAAAAATGTTTAAAAAATTCTGTCTGTCAAAAAATTTTGACATTTGACATTTTTTATATCTATTTAATGATACTGATGATCTTGTTTTTTTACAATAAAAGCCACAAATAACATTGAACAGAGTTACAATTTAGGATACAGCTTCCTTGTTTACTCTTTTACTAGCATATAGCAAAAAAACTTGGAAAATTATTTTTTCAACAGAAATAAATAGAGTCAAAGTGCAAACTTTAAACCCTTATAACTTCGAAGTTTTTATAGATAAAATTTTTTTAACATTTTCTCCATGTTCCTGGTATTTTACCCTATATGACATTTTTCTCTGGGGCGTGAGTTCTGGCGCACCCTGTATATAAATATATTTTTTTTTGTCCTTGCCGTTTAAAAATAAATTAAAAAAACCTCCTTTTTTGGCTATTTTATTTTTTATAAAAAAACTAAAGAATTTTTTGATTTATTTTTGGCGTATTGTAGATTACCTACTTATGTTACTGTATTTTTTTCATACAATTTAAATAATGCGTTTTTTTTTTATAAAAAAATAAAAACTATTGAATTTGGAATCCGTTACAAATACTCAAAATGAGATAAAAACTCTGTGTTACTGTGTGTGTGAGGTACTTTTTTAATTCAGGAACAACATCCATATTTCTTTATACAGGGTGCGCCAGAACTCGCGCCCCAGAGAAAATTTTCAAGTAAGGTAAGATATCAGGAACATGAAAAAAATGTTTAAAAAATTCTAACTGTCAAAAAATTTTTACTACATTTATTTTTTGACATTTTTTATACCTACTGATGATCTTGTATATGTTTTTTTACAATTATTTAGTAAAGGTACAAAAATTTTGCCAATAAAAGCCACAAATAACATTGAACAGAGTTACAATTTAGGATACGGCTTCATTGTTTCGTCTTTTAATAGCCTATAGCAAAAAAACTTGGAAAATTATTTTTCCAACAGAAATAAATAGTCAAAGTGCAAACTTTAAACCCTCTTTGAAATTTTTATAGAAAATTTTTTTTTAACATTTTTTCCATGTTCCTGGTATCTTACTTTACATGACATTTTTCTCTGGGGCGCGAGTTCTGGCGCATCCTGTATACAAAATCTTTTGCAAAATCATATAACATTGTTGTAATTAATAATTATTAAAATATTACCTATGTTTTAATTTAGAAAATGAAGTAAAATTAATGTTAATAATTGAAATAGTAGTACCTGATTCACAAAATACAAATTTACCCATTAATAAACAAAACAAAAGTTAAAAGACCCAATAAGATATTACTTTTTTCCAATTCACAACTTTGTTATGTTACATGAAAAAGTTATACCTAATCAGGGTCCTGTTGAAACAATTTATAGTTGATTTTAAAATTATTTTTTGATCGTTTTTTTACCTACGCGTTGAATTTTATAGAAAAAATATACAATTCGATACATAGTTGAAACAGTGATTATTATTAAAGCTCACTATTTCGAACCATAAATTTATTTTTGTTGCATTGTAATAAATTGTAGTGATTTATTCAGTGATTTATAACCCAAGATGAGAAATGTAATAATTTAAACACACTCGGCGATTAATAATCCTGCAATAGTAAAGTCGATGGACTAAACCAGAACATTGGAATTATGCTTTATTAAATCATAAATTACAGGTTTCTATAATAATCAAACTTCCGACATTTCAATATCATCAATAACCAAATCATCCAACATTTCCGCCAATGTTATCCTTGGAACATTCTCATCAACATCATCGCCTGAATCGATGACAATTTGTTTCGTAAAATCTTTAAAAATATTGACATTTTGACGCAAATCGGGGTCTTCTTCCAAGTCATCCAAAAACTCATTGTAGTCCCTTGAAACAAAAGAAAAATGTTATCGGATTGTAACCAATTAAATGTATCATGTTACCTATTATCGGTAATTAAGGCAGTTTCTTCTTGGGCCATGTGTTTCAATTTCCATACTCTTCTCCTCTTCCTTTCACTCCTGTCGTAATATTTCTTCACTAAAACGACATCAGGAATGCTACTTTTCTCCAATTTATCGAAATTGGCATCATTTACGTTACTGTCTTCAAGATTATAACTGAAATTTTTTTTATATGAAAATGATTTATCGGAGTTGAGAATTTGGCTAACCCTAAAACGTAGTCTCCTGGTTTTAAAACATGCCCCAAATGAGTCCTTGTGTGTATTGTATTGTCAGTAACACCCAATTCTGAAGATCTAACAACCCAAATGTCGGCTAAAACATGTTTATTTGAAATGGCCCCTTGTCCTGGAAAGGTTTTTCGGTCTTTATCCATAATCGGTTCAATATCCATAACAACAAACTCGACGAGTTGTTTAGGATTACACATGGCGTTGAAGGGGCTACGCCAATAAACAGTACTATTAATTTCAGCAACTTGAAAAAAATAAAACCACTAAAGAGAAAATTAAATGATGGTGTGTTACTTTGCGCCCTTGATGGATCAATCAAATGTAACGAGTTGGTAACCCTGTACACAAGACAAATGGGGGAAATACCGCCCAACTGTTGAGTTAATTTCTTCGGTAGACACACCAAACTGTCTTTTGACACTGGGACAATTTCCACCGAGTAAGTGAATTTGTAATTATATAAATTACTGTGGATATCGTGCGAAATCAGTTTTTTCGAATGGCTGTATTTGCATGGAAGCACAGCAGCAAGAAAATCGACCATTTTCCGGGCATGAGCCTCAGTGGCGTAGAAAAAATCAAGACCGTCTATAAATTCAAATAAAAACAATTGTTACCAAGAAAATAGAGAAAAATAATACCATGAATCGGTTTAATCCCCAATGTGTTGTCGTGTGCCTTATGTTTCAAAATCAACTGTTCTAAATAATAGAAAGTTTTCTTATTTTCCGCCTTTTGTCTCACTTGGACCAAAGCCCGCCAGAAATTCTGTGCTTCGGACCGATGACAGTCATCGCACATGTGATGAGTGACCACATAGTCAACGATGAAAACCTGCTCTAACATGGCCCCCCCTAAGACTTCCCCATGCACCTTCAACTTGACTTTAATTCGCTTCGAGTGAGGTTCAGTCCAGACGAATCCAGCATCGACCAGTTTCACCCGATTCAATCCTTTCAATTTTTTCAAACACAACGAAAGCAATTCTTTTGATTCGAGCACGCAATGGGTCCATTCCGACGGGGGGCTGAAGTAGCGTTCACATCCGCGGCAGAATTGGAGGGTGACTTGTTTGGGGATGCCTTCAGTGATGTCGACTTTGGTGCGGAGACAAGGCACGCACATGTTGGAGGGGTTGGGGTCAATGGGGGTGCCGCATTCGCAACACAAACTGAAAATTTGGTTTAGTACTTGGGGTGGTTGATAAGGGGGCTTACATTTTGTTTGTGGGGGCCGGGAGGTCCGTTATGTATTCCATTTTCAATGGTAATGAYACATGTGCTTGCACCTAACCTCAAATTATTGACATTTAAATCA